CCTCAAGGTTACTGCGCATGACGGAAGATGAGCGCCCCTTCACCAAGGTAGGTTTGAAGATATGAATGGGAAAGAAACTTTGGAACAATTGGGCTGATTTGCGCAGGATTTCATGGACTTGTTCTCCACATTGATGGTCAGCTTGAAGTTGGATTCGCACCGTGTTCGTTTCACAAGATATGACCACACCTTCACCTCAGAAGAGGCTATCAACAATTTGGGTTCTCTCAAGTTCTCTCAGTCCAACCGCATGCCCGACCCAAAAGACCCCTCCCGCATCGTCACGACCACTACGACCACTACTTTCTCTATGGCCAAGGAAATGGCCCGATCCGTCTGCCAGCGATTTGTCGATGCGCGCTTCATTGAATCGGTCGACGGCAAAGCCCTTATGATCTTCCCGCTCAAGGGTGCCCTCTTCCAGCTCACCCCGAAGGGAATCAACATCTTGCAGCGTTTCTGCCAGCGGAACGGTATCACCGCCCGTCACGTGATGGATGTGTTAGAGTCGCCGCGCAACACCATGCAGCTGGTGAACCTAGAGCGTGACACAGATAGTGACAAGCTGTCTCATGATCGCGCGACGATCGAGGTGATCTTCCGCCGCTTTGCTGGTCAGGATGGCCCGAACGTGAAGAGCAGCATTTCGACCTCGGATTCAGACTCCCTTAGTGATTATACCAACGGCCTCGTTGGTGTAAAGGTGGCTCGGGAGCGCAAACTTCTGGATGGAAAGGTTTATAGCAACACATTCACTGGAAAGGCATCGGTGGACTGGTTGATGGATTGTTCAACTACCATTGAGCGCCGGGAGACCTGTTTGATTTCCGAGCTGTTCCTGAAGTACGGCCTGATCACGATGATCCAAGACGACAAACAATTTCCCGATATCGGGACCAATGCTCATTTCCAGCCTTCCAAGTATGCTATTTACGGCATTACCGAGCGTGGACAGCGCGTATGTGGATGGATTGCGCGCGAGAAGACCCGCGAGGTTGCGCCGACATACGACAGTCGTGGCATGCCACGCGACTCCAATAACGCCCGATTGACCCACATCCTTCAGGATCCCGCTTTGCGCTTGCTTTTCCGTGAATTCCTTCGCTACTCGCTTTGTGAAGAGAACCTGGCTTTCTACCTTGATGTCTCGGAATTCACTGCCAACTACCACAAGGCCGAGAAGATGGGTACATTCAACAAGGTTGACTCGGTGCGGGAAACTTTGGCTGCAGCATATGGATTGTACAACGCGTTTTTGGCCCCCGGCTCACCCTGTGAGCTGAACATCGACCACGCGCTTCGCAACAGCCTCGCTAGTCGCATGACCAAAGCCGTGGGAGACGACGAGTCCATGTTTAAGAGTCTCCAAGAAGTGGTGCACCTGTTCGAGCTTGCTCAAACCTCCGTCTTCAAGCTGATGTCAAGTGATTCCGTCCCCAAGTTCCTGCGTGACCCCAAGTACTCCGTTGTTCTGCAAGAACATGACGTGGACATCATGGGAGGCCCGCGTTCATACTCGCCCACGCCAGTCGCGCCCCCCTCAATCCCGGAACGCAGCATGAGTCGCTCTACCCGTGCCTGACAACCACCGCCCACAAGCATTGATATAGTCCGCAACCCATTCGAAGACGAGTCGTATCACTGCGATTCCGACTCCTCATGAGCCCCCTTTTCGGTGCATTCCAGCTACCCGAACCAATTCAACATATGCAGTCCAGCATCAGCATTCGACCTCTCTTCCAAGGTACAGGTCGAAGCTATCCACCCTGCAACTCCGCACTCATGCTTGTGGCTCCAATACGGAAACCCACTCCCCCCACCCTCTACAAAAGGGGGAGATCAAATATCCGGTCGACCTTGAGACCCGATTTCATCAATCTCGTCACGATCGTTTCCGACCACGAAGTTCCTCACACACACTCTCTCTCTCCTCCGCATGCAGTCCAGCACAGTTGATGTGCCTGGCTGCCATATCCATTTTTTCCATTTTTTAATCCACGAGACTCCCCCACTCCGAAAGACGTTATGATCGATGGCTCATGTTATAGAGAAGGCCGGAACTGGAAAATATTTGTAATATTTGGATGGCATTGCTTTTGTTTCTCCCTTTATATTCCCTTATTCGCATTCCTTACTCATTTGCATCTTCCCTCATCTCTCCCAGGGAAGTGTTGGAAGGGGGAAGACTCAGAACAGAAAAACAAAAAACATTGAAAACATGAAAGATTGGAGGCTGTTTCTTTTTTCTTCAGCATCTGACACGGCGTTCCTTGCATGTCCTTTTTCCTATCTCTTTTCTCCATACAACTCATCTCTGCATTTTGATCTCTTCATCTGAGCATGTCATATGATTCCATATCTTTTCTTTTTTTCATTTCCTTTTCTATGATTCCTTATTTTCCTTAAGTTCCTGCATCATTCTACCCGGGCACAGCGAGTGAGTTTTGGTCTGCTTGTGTATGTCATATTTTTCTTTCATTGTGAAATGCAATGGACATGATCTTATATACTCACATCTTTTAAGTAAATGATCAATCAAATGTACACAGATCCCGTGTTTCAGATTGGGGCGTATCCATCTTTAGAATGCCCTTGTTACGACTTATGTCCCAGCAACAGTCTAGGTCAAAAGGAGGTGCTAAGAGGTAATTGGTTTGGAAAGGTCTGCGGTTATTCACAATGGGGGCAGATGTTCTATCAGGGACTACTCTCAAGCTACTTAACAATGGGTGTTCGTATAACTTCGACACCTTGAGGTGAATATAACTATTACTTAGTAATTGTTGACTGTCTAACCAGAACCATTCTAGCAGGATTAATGCCCTCTAATTAGATGGTCTTGCTGCCTTTAAAGAAGGGCCTATGTGTTCAAACATGTCAACGACGCCCTTATTATACACAGTATCTTCAGCTTCTACAAGTACGAGCACTTTGCCAATTCTTCCCCTGACGCCAACACCACCTGGACAGTATTCGACTACTGAACACGGTTAAACATGAATCCAAGTTACAGGTTGAGATCTCAAATGAATTCAAGACTGGATTAGCCATACATACACAGGACATGATAGGAACAAAAAGACAATCACAACGCCTAGAACTGCGCCTTGAATGCCAATGGTCATCATATTCTTGGAAAATTGAGGGTATTGAGAGAACAAGATGACAGGAAAGAACCGAGACAAGAAAAGAAAAATGAAAGTCTACTTAGTTCCCCATCCTCGAAGTCTCATACCCTCCTCAATAGCAGTCCAAATACCCTCAACAACTTCACGATCCCGCCAGCGTCCACCACCGTGAATACCATTCTTCTCGTCCCAGCGCTCAACAGCAAATGTTTCCACACCACGACCCCAGCCCTTAACCTGTGTAGGGATGTCCTCACCACGCCATCCGACATACACACCGGTAGCGTGTTTGAACAGCTCCGGCGGCGAAGACCACTTGTATGACTTGAACTGCCAGGTCTGACCGGTAGTGAAGACAGCGACGAGTCGATTCCAGTACTCTGGTTTGAAGTTGGTTGTGCCGTCGACGACGATGAACTTGGTTGGGCGTGTGGGCTTTCCACCGGCGCGGGAGCTTGAGCTCGCGCTGGGGTTTGAAGCATCGCCGTTGAGACGGAGAGGTCGCTCTAGCTTCACGAGGTTGGCGTCTGTGGCGCTTGAGAGGGTTGGGTGGTCCGGTGGTACGAAGATGCCTTCTTCGAGGAAGGATTTGACGTTCGACATGCGGATGAGGGATGATGCGGACGGTGAGATTAGGATGATTGGGTCGGGACGGGAGTGGGAGGAACTCGACTTGCGCGATGGGACCATTGAGAGACCGGCTGATGGCCCCGGAATGGAACCCTTACTGCTCGGTTTGGCGCTTGGCTGGCCCGGTCGATTGCGGTTGCGGTCGAGGAATGATTCGGCGCTCTTGCGGACGTGTGAGAAGTCCTTGGGAGTGGGGATTAGCTGGGGTCTATCGCATACTGCCTAGAGAAACTCACTGTCGGCTTGATTCCACGCAGCACGGTATTGCGGTCGCCGGTCTTGCGCTCCCCATTGTAAATTTCCTGTAGTCGGGGATCAATCTGCTTTTGTGGACGGCCAAGCTGGGCTCCAGCCTGGGTAGCTCCTGCAGCTCCGCTGGGGACGGAGGCGACGCCGCCAATCGCACCGGCGGCAATTCCGGCGGCATTATCGGCCTGTGCAGCACCTGCGGCTGAGGCGGCGGCTTCAGCAGCGGCAGCAGCACCCTCAAGGGGTTTGATATGTTCGCTGTCGTCGGAGGCACCCTCTAGCCAGGTGAAGAGGTCAAGGCGCTCGAGGAATATAAGAATCTGGACACTTTCTTCCTTCTCACCCTCTTTCGTTTGCTGCTTCAGCGCTTCGTTGAATTCCTGCGCCTTGGCGATGTACTCGGGAATGGCGACATCTTTGTTCTGCCAGGCGAAAAGGATACTGCGCAGGTCAACGGGGGATTTGGTGGATGCCGAGATGAATCGTGTGAGGGTTGACAAAGCAATTGTCCGAGGAGTTGGTTGGGCGAAATAGAGATGTGTGGCTTTGGCCAGGTCGTCTGTGGCAGATTGGTCGGAGAGTTCGGACGAGGTTGTCGGCGTTGGGAGGTTGCCAGAGGCAATCGCACGTCGTAGTGACAGGAGAGGATCCTGGAGTGCGGCATCGGTTGCCATTGTGTTAAATAGGGCAGTGGCCCTTTGCAGCAGTTTTAGGTAGGAAAAGTTGTCTGGGGCTGGGATTGAAGAACGCGCATTTGGAGTCGAAGCTCCGCAGACTGCACGTGACACGGTATCGCCAGTAATCCATTTCAAGTCTGACGTTTTGTATACAACAACTTCAAAAAAGAAAAGGTCTGATATAAATTTTCTCACAAATTATTACATGCCATTTCATTCCATTCACCACGTTTTGTCTTTGTTGTCCCTTGACTATGCACCGACCACCCAACACTGCCAATTCTCTGCTGATATACTCCAGGGCTGCTTCAAACAATCAATGTAGACACCGCAGTGCCGGGCTGATATATCGCCACATCCAGCTCCAAGCACCGAAAAAGGCAGTGATACCAGTGAAAAGAATCAACGTCCCATACTGTGTTTCATAACCAGTATTGCCACCCAGACCATTGGTATCCCCCAAAGACCCCGACTGAAGCAGCACCGTACTGAGCGGTCCACTAATCACATTTCCAATCCCTCGTCCACCAGCAAGAAGACCAAAGATAAGTCCAGTGTCCATGTATGGCGAAGAGGAATCACGCTTGATCTGGGTAATGACTCCAGACCAGGTGGAGCTGAATCCACCGGCGAAGAAGCCATATGTGATGGAGAAGATAGTCAGAAGGGCAACGGCTGTCTGTGGCGACCCTGAGCCTGCTGATGATACCATGCCCCAGAATAGAAGCACTGATAACGCCGAGCCAACTGAAGATAGCAGCATGATGTTTGTAACAGAAAACCGGTCACACAGTACTCCCAGACCTATCCCACCAATGACAGCTGTTGCGTTGAATAACGAGACCAGCAATGTACCGGTATTTTGGGATAGTCCAACTGTCCTTGTCGAAAAGGAAGGGAGGAATGTCGTTGGCAAGAAATATCCAAAACTCTGGATAATATTCCCCATTTGCAGCATCCAGAACGTGGTTTGCCTGAGGAAACTCAGATCCAGGCGGCGGGCTGAAGTAGATGGCGATATTGGGATACGAGGTTTCATGAATGGCAAGGCCATGAGGGTGGTTACCAGCTAAATTTTTGTCAGCCATAGCTTAAGAACGTGACGATTATTCATGGCCTGATGGTTTGGTATCGAACCAAGACAGATCATTGGCTTATGCTTCAATTGATTCAAAGAAACAGCTGGTCCATACCGTGACGACAGTCCAAGCCCTTAATGTAGTACTTGAGCCGAACCTATTCAGGCAAGCACTAGCAATGAAAGGCAAGGCAACTCCAACAATACTCTTTGCAGCCCACATAGTGCCAAGAGCAAGACCCTTTCGGCGTAAGAACCACTGATCAAGGTACAGGGAAGACGGACTGAACAGGAGCCCATTCCCAATGGCACACATGACACCCTGCGTGAGAATCAAATGCCACACCTGCACCGAGAAGGAGGATAACAGTGAACCTATCACGGTAATTACCAAGCCTGCGGGTGCACAATAGTATTGTAGACGCGGATATCTCGTCAAAAGCGTGAAAGTGACAGGCGAGAGAAGATAAAGCAGTCCCTGGAAAGCATTAGACTATACAGCCGTCATCGTTTATCCTTTGCATACAGTCGACGTAGTTCCAACAGTCGCTAGGTCATTCTTGCTTCCCCGTAGGACATCATGTGTTGAGTAGTACTCTTGAAAGACGCCAAAGACAGTGGAAAATCCTGGATGGTCATTAGTATCAGCATACGGAGCTTTTTCAGTCACAACAGACCCCAGACTGGAATCTGGATGAAGCAGCATGAAGCCAGCATCAGCCATGCAGCTTTGCCTTCATCTGCTGGAGCAAGCGTGGGTTGCTCGATCCCGGAGACCTCTGTGGATCTGCGAGGATGTATCTCGTTCAGCGCGAGGCTTTGATTGGAATGATTCATCTTGCAATGGGATCAATAGCAGAAGCATTAGATATGGGTTGGTAGATGGTATGGAGAAAGAAAGAAACGAGGGGTCTGAAGGATTTCCCCCCCCGCGACGATTGAGTCATCTGCGATATCAGCCTATCATCTCGCATAAATTGGACACCTTGAATGTGAAGTAGGAAGTGCATTAGCAAGGCGAAGTAGCGCATCCCAATCAGGTAGATCAAGATACGGGATATAATACTCAATGTTAGAACTCAAACAGGCAACAGTTACATTGTTCATACAAGCTATCTAGCCCGGTCTCAAAGAAAGAGGCCATACATATCCAAGATTAAACTGGACAAATCGTGAAAGATCAAGTGCTGCAATTCAGGCAGACACAATTCTCAAAGACCCTGACCCAAATGGTATTTCCCATAACCAATAACCAATCCCACGCCATACGCCATCCAGAGTCCGAAAGCCGGAGAAAAAAACAAAGAGAAAAGAAGCCGACACAGAAGGCGAAGAAGAAAAGTTGAAAGCCCGAAGAGAACGCCTTTGCCCGCCTTGTAAGGTATCGAAATGAAAATCACACGAGAAAAGAAATTTTGGGTCGTAAGAAACGTTAAATCCACGGCGGAATTTTCCTTTTATCACAGGCCCACCATTACTACCACGCGGATGGTCGTGTTACGAGGAGATGGAAGGGTTTTTGGTGGGCGTTGTCTCTGGTGCATCCTCCATAGAGATATCCATAGAGTCAGAGGGTTCGTTCTTGTCGCCTCCAGGTTCGGTTTTGCGGGGAGATTGATGATTATCTCCAAACACCGTCGTGATGGCCAGAAAATGTTGGGTGCGAAGACTAGAATCGCCAGGAGGCGGACCAGGAGTTGGGGGAGGAGCTGGTTCCGAAGTTGGAGTGGTTGCCATTGTACCACGCCGAATCAGATAATCACCCAGACTGAGTTTCTTCTTGGCAGGGGTGGCTGCAAGTGCAGAGCCAGAAGATGGCGTGAGAGAAATTGGGGAAGCTGTGTCATGAGGACTAGGTGATGCGTGACTTCCTGTCGACAGGGAGCTAGGACTGAGCGCTGACGGGATGTTCGAGGCCTTTGGTGGAGGCATGGAAACATGCAGATTCCGACGATTGCCAGCCCCGGGAATTCTAAAGCTATGCGCTGCAATGGATGGAGAATAGGGCGGAACTTGCGGCTTGAGTGGACCACTGCTGGACCCAGACAAGGAATATTCCGGATTTTGGGGGAGAGCAGGACTCCGAATATCCACGTCACCCTGGAGAGGTCGTGCCGGAGGTTCGTAATGCATTCCTCTGATCGCAATGCCATGATATTTGACTTCAGGCTGGGGATACTTTGACTGGTGGAAAGACCACCGAGGGGGCATCGCAAGGGGACCGTGATCAGCAGGTATTCCCATTCTGTCGGAATCTTCCCTGAGCAACTCGATATGAGACCTGTCGTCGACTGGGAGAGGAAACCATCCGTACCACCAGGGAAGGACCCCGGATGGCACGACACTGAAGTCGCCGGCCTCCCATGCATTGCGCTGAGCCCAGTCCTCTTTGTTGTGATGGCCCGCGCACCACCGAATCTTGAGCATAAGTGATGGGTGGATCATGTCAAGTCTGTATCCTCGCCTCAAACGTTCTGCGCGCAAAAAGGAGCGCTCAACGTCATCAGCGTAAAGTTCAGTCTGAGCGTTGACATAATTGCCTTGACGCCGGGACGATTGTCCTGCCAGCTCAGATCGCCGGGATGGGCCAGGCTCGTGGTAGGGTTTGAAGTCGTCATCAGTTTGAGTGGAGCTCGAGACTGTTGCTGAGGTGGATTTTGTCGGAGGGCCCAGAGAACGCTTTTTCCTTTTGGGATTAGCAGTTCTCAGCTGCTCTAGTTGCTGAAACTGCTTCTCGGCATCCGCTATTTTACGTCTTTCGCGACTGGAGAGCTCTGGCAGTGTTGTCTGAGCTGTGGGGCTGAGATCGCGACTGGCAGTATGTCGACCACGCGCGGAACCAGAAGTTGATCTGGCGTCGGTTGGGGGATCATGCTCGTCAGGATGCTTGGTGGTCTCACTGCCGCCGCGACCGATATCAGTGGAAAGACCGAGGGATTTTGACTTTTTACCCTTGCCCTTGAGCCTCGCCTTGACCCGTTTGGTTCCGGGGGGCTTGGCGCGACGATCAAGCTTGTTGAGTACACAAGTTTGAGGATTTCCACAAGCACAACCGCCGAAGTTGGCCAGTGTGGTGCTAATGCAAATAGCGGCGTCCTTCGGATCTACCACCCTGTCCTTGAACTCCTCTTTTACTGTCGTGTCGCAGGGAAAGAAAGATTCATCGAAGTGCCACATGGTGGTAATTTCCGAGCCTGGAGGAATGTCTCTTTTGGCGACAAAACAAAAATGGTACTGTCGCCCATTGGTGATGTAGATTTTCAACCAAACGTTGGCATCACATGACCGCCTGACGTGACGGAGCTCGTTTCCTTCCTGACGACTGTCGATGTATAAGTCTAGCTGCCGATTGAAGAACACAAAGGGCATAGCGTGCCCCAATTCCTCCCATCGGTTGCTGCCGAGCTTTTTGTAGTCCTTGACGTGGCCTAATTTGCCAAAGATTTCACCGACAACATCATCCTTTTGGATTGGATCTTTCGTCTTCAAGATCTTGTGGATTGGGTGCTTACCACCGATCTCAATTGTCGAGTCTGTGATGGTTTCTGTTGTCAACGAGGGCCAGCGAGACCGATCCATGGCCTCTTCGGATCGTTTGGCGAAGTCTTCAACACTGATCCCATCGGCAACCCGCGCCAAGATCTGTGGGTCCTTCAGCCATGCAACAATTTCATTGACAAAGTCCACGCCGTAATTGAGAATAGTCTTCGATTCAACAAATTGATCATCGCGGTCGTAAAGAGAGAGAAATTCGTCCGAGTAATGGGGAATAGGGGGGCCAGGGATGCCCGTTGGGCTCATCGCAACTGATGTGGAGGATCGACGGTTTCGTGATTCAGTCAACAAACCCGGGGGAGCCGAAATACCACTGAGTGAGGCCGATGGGTGACGAGACACCTTTGCTTTCTTGGATGGTGGCTGCTCACGGGAACCCGAATCATGTCGTCTATGCCCGAAGGCATTCCCATCAGCATCATTGGACTTTCTCTTGTGTGTTTTAGGGCCAGATCGTCTTGACTTCCGGTCACCGTCCTCGCTTTTCTCTCGGATCCGCCGCAGCCGCTGGCGTTCGTGGGCACGACGATTATCAAGGGGCCGTGGCTCACAGTCGACACAGTTGTGCACATCTGGTACTTTTTTGTCTGGGTAGTAGCAGAGGATGTGCTGCCATGTCTCGCACCCTTCGCAGAAGACCGTGTTGCCATCATCTTCATCGAACGAACAAATGCATTTGATGGTGTAAGGTTCTTCATCGGGTGCGCCGGAGTCAGAGGCGGCGCCGTCGACGGCGGCAGGGAACCCGCGGTGGGCGTGGACCGGATAGGAATCCGTTGTGGCGTGCGTGATGGCGAGGGAGGAGGTATCTGTCATCGCCGACAGATAACCCCCTCTCAGGCGAAGACAAAATGATGTGTTCTCGACAGAGGCGTAGCCAAGCTGTCACTGTTCAAGTCGCATATCAATTTTTCTCGTGGTCGTGTAGCCTTCCAATCCCGTCTTGTTGGATAGTGGACGCGTTGGGAAAGTTGAAGACGGTGCGGTCACAAGAAGGAAGCGAAAGGGGGGGTGTGAAGTCGAAGAATCGATAATCGTAAGAGATTAAAAGAGGTTGGCGCAAAATTTGAAGGAGAGAAAGGAAGGAAGAAAGGAAGAAAAGCGCGAAAAAGAGAGGGTAGGGGAAAGGAGAGGAAAAAGAGAGTGAGTTTGAGGAACTGGAGACAGAGGAAGGAGGAGGCTACGGGGGCCTAAGGCAGAGAATGGGCCGTCCGGGTAGGCATAGAGACCAAGTGCGTGGAGAGTGGAAGGGAGTTTAGCGCGGTTTGAGACTTGGGACCAAAGGGCTTCGAGGAACCCAAGAAACAATGGCTCTTTTTTTTTTTTTTTCTGTTTCATTATGAACAGAAATCACCACCCTGAGCAGATTCCTGTTAATTTTTTGAATTCCAGGATTTACCGGTACGGTAATTTTTGTATGCAAAAAAACGACTGTTCTCAGCCTTGGAATACGCCAGTCCTAATGAGGACTAGCGTCATTCAATGCAGTGGGGAAAGTCACGGGAATGTCATTGGATGCCCTAGGCATCCCGTCAATTGGCAAGATTGTTAGCATCTAGACGGATGAGTAGGAAACTGATATGAAAAAGAATGAGGAATAGCTATACCCTCAGTCCAAAATGAATCGAGAGTCCTATTGGCCCTTCCACTGGGCTATATAGAGCCAGGCTTGTTCATGCAGTAAATCGAGATGACGCTATCAAAGTGAGCAAGATCCCCCGTCCCCCTCCCAAAAATGGTACGGGTCTTGAATATGCCGGGAACCCCCTGGGGTTGTGATTTGCTTGTCCTCTCAACTTTTTAGGAGGCAGGGATTTTCATGAGGGAGGACAAAGGAAATCCTACGGACTCGGCTCGGGAAAGAAATCCGTGAGAATGCAAAGAACAGGCGATATGGGCTACCTACGGAGAGTATTAGAGGCGGAAATGGCGGGGATTTGATATTAGCCGAAGTATTCCAGGCAGAATGAGGAAGTATAAAGGAAGTATGAAGAGGCATAGTAGAAAAGTAACATGGGGAAAAACGGGTGAAAAATGCTTGGGAGAGACCGGAGGAGATGGGAGGAATATGGTTCAAAGAGGGGCAAAAGTCATCTGCTCTTGTACGACAAGGATATATAAAACATGAAAACGGGAATAGAAAGGAAAAGAAGGATGTTCGGGGATTCCGAAGTGGTAAAGGGGGGCGCTTGTAGGATTCCGATATGACTTGTGATTTGGCGCCATTTGCCACTACAAAGGAGGGAAAAAAATAAAACGTTCAAATTGTCCGGTTTCGGTATTGTATTCTATTGACTCCCGTATGGAGTACGGGAATACGTTAGTACTCAATTCTCTTTTCTTTCGGGGACTATATATAGTAGCTCTGGGCCTTACTTAATACACCCCATGCATTTTTGTATTGCGTATGTGGAAATGATATTAAACAAGAAACACAATTGAACTACAAACGAACGACAACGAATGAATAATACACAAGGATCGCAGACATGCCGATTCTACTTCTATACCATTCCATTGGAATTCTCGCAGCAATTTTCATCGGCGTGTTATCCGGTACACTCAAGGCTCGGTGAACATGGTTTGGCTGAGTCGCAACTCAAATGCCCCGGAACCCTCTGGGATTGCGTCGAGTTTCGCCCGAGGCGGGTACGTCTTCTGTGTCCGAGGTTCCTTTGGTCCCTCGCGGTCACCATGTCTGCGTCCAGCCATATCGACATGTCTTTCCACTTCGACAACGGGCACAAAGTCTTGGAATCGATGAACCAAGAACAGCAGGATGAAAACAACGATGTTGATGTATGAGACAATCAGTCTGGCGCTTCGGGACCCAATCAGATTTCCCCTGGGTCCTGCCCACAACCCGCCGCCCAACAGCAGTATAGTACTGATGACCAATCCGAAATATGTGCCAAACGGCTGGAACGCGAAACTGTGTCGCCTGGCAATTCCATTCATTATGAGCCGTCGATCAAAGTGACGATAGACGACACATGATACCAGCGAGGAAATGAAGCCGGCGCTTGTGACGAGGCGAAGGAGATAGGTGTTCATGATTGTACTCGACACCTTCACTGAAGCAAAGGCAAGAGAGGAGAATACGGCAGATGCTACAACAGCCAAATATGGGACGTTCCAGCGGTTGCGAATAGAAAATACAGAGGGCGCATGACCGAGTTCCGACATTGCACATAGTGTGCGAGAGGACAGATACAAAAAGGATCGCCCAGAAGCCACCGCAGAGAGCAGGATTGCGACCGTCGCAATTGTAGGTACAATTTGAATATTTGCATTTTTGAGACCGATCAGGTAAGGAGAAAACCCGGAGCCCGTTCCGTTGTTTGTCAGACGAGTGTCATTGAAAGGAGCCATCACACCCATGGCCAAGGAGCTCACGATATACGGAAACGCGGTTTGTGCAACATCGGACGTGACTCTGCCTGGGATCCCAGCGCTTATCATCGCCGTTTCGCCAAGTGACGCTGGCACAAGGGATGCTGGAAATTCCGCTCGGTGCACAATCAGCTCCGGGGCAAATGTGAAAGCAATGGAGCCATCGAGTAGGCATTGAAAGAAAGCTAAGACTCGTCCCCATTTACCTCGGACTAGATACTCGTTCATGGCACCTGGATGCTTCCAGTATTTGAACCCCCATGGTGGTTGCGCATCCACACCTCCAAGACCCAGGGCTAGGGAGAGGACGAAGAGGGTTGCCATTGTGCCAATCTTGATCGCAGTGAACAATCGCTCGGAGCTTTTGAATAGTCTTTCCGGCAGGAAATTGAACCCAACAACGATGATCGTGATGATACCTAATCTGACTGCGACGGCGGAGCCTGGTTTCCACAGGCCAAGGTTGACCATCGCCGATGTAATTTCGTATGGGACGAACAAAGCAAGAGTGTACCAGCGGAGGTATGCTGAAGCAAATGCCAGACTGCTTGACATATACAGGTAGCCATTGGTAACGAGTGTTCCGTGTTGCGATGGCATGTGCGTGGATACCTCAGCCACGCTTGTGGTCATGGCAATGGTCAGAATGGATAGGATTATATACGACAGGAGCAGCGAGGCAGGTCCGCCAACCGCGAGTGCTTGGCCGGCGCCGATGAAAAGACCAGTGCCAATGGTCGGACCGACAGCCATGGTACTAACAATGAATATAGATAGTGGAGGGTTATAGGTGGAGGATAGAAGGGTAAAAGGCCGAGAGTGGTCGGCTCGAGAAGGAAGTCAAGTGACCAATTACGGTATCACTATCCATCGCTCTTTCCTTGTACAATGTACAATGAAGATAGTCCAAGACGAAAGGATCAACCTTGAATTCAACTAATTAGCGTCAATAATACCAGAGATGACAGGAGTATGCAAAAATCAAATGTAAAGGGTATCATTTATTGTGAAGGAAGAAGGATAGAAAGAGACAAGTAACGGGAATTCTCTTCAAAAATTTCCAATGTGGGTTTACAGTGCTTGGGAGAAGATCACTGAGAAGCCATGTCCGTTTCGGCGAACTCGAGCCATTCCCCAGACAAAGATCTTTTCCAGAACCGAACTGTCCCATCATCTCCAGAGGAAATCAAGCAGTCACCTAGCAGGGCATTAGTGTCAGAAACTTGGAATTGAAGAAAAGCGAAAGAGAGACCCACCAGAAAACGAGAATTGAACCTGCCACACATCGAGGTGTTTAGTGTCAATACAAGCCACCTGTTTGAACGAGTGCCGAAATTGTGAATCTCCATTGGCTTGCCGATCAGTCACCGATGCAGGTACACGGCTTGCTAGAGCAGAGCCGATCCCGGATTGCGATGTCGCTCGGAGCGACGGTGAATGTGGCTGCGACTGGGACTGGGACTGCGATTGCATGCGACGTTCCGTCTTCCGGCCGTTAGTCTGTAGTGCTTGGCCAGCTGGCATTGTGTACACTTCATAGATACGGACAAAACCATCCTTGCCACCGCTTGCGATGAGATCGTAGCCACGCACAGAGCCGTTGGCCCAGGATATGTCTCTCACAAGTCCACTGTGCCCATTCAGTTCAATTGCATGGTAGAATCGTCGGTTTGCGTCAGTGCGATAGACCTTGACAGTATCCATGGCAGCCACAATTAGCGACAAGCTCTTCCGATCGGAATCCGGCAAAATAGTGTGGGTAATGTCGGCAGGGTCATGATGGAACTGGACTTTGAAGCTTGTTTCCTCTCCGCGTTCGGGGGCGGTGCAAACTCGGAACTGGTCAACAGTCTGCCAATCTGCAAGGCTATCGGGGCTGACAGGCTCCATGATCATGAGGTAGCCATCACGTGTTATCACGGCCAGCCATGACTCCAGGTCAATGTTGCGAAAGTCAAGTGATACAAATGGATGCCTTTGTGGTGCGGTCATACGAAAGATTGACCTGAAACGCCGTCCTGAGTTTGGTGGCTGGGTTACATCTTCTTGCCAAATTTTCAACTTCATGTCCTCTCCAACACTGCCAATATGCTGGCCTGTGAAAGGACCATTCCATGTGGCCTGAAATAGTAGTTTAGTACATGAGCCGCAAAGGCGGAATGGCGCCCTAGCTTGTTTGGGGACCTACATCGCGAATCTCAGCATCGTGCGCGCGCCAGGTGTCTATCAGTTGCCATTGGCCATCCTTGAGATCCCAAACTTTCATGCGGTGATCAGAAGAAGCGGTGACAATACGATTGCCATAGAAGTTAAATCTGGTGACAGCGACAAGATCCCGATGGCCGGCGTCGAAATCGGCAAATCCGGCCGTTATCTCGGGGCGCTCCACTGCTCCCATCGAAACGGACTGGGCTATGAGATTGACAAATTAGATAGCTGGGCCAATGAGGATTTTAATTTTATGCATCTGCACGCATGAGGTATGTAACAGATGGTTGACGTCGCCTTTTACCTTTCTTGGTTGCAAGCATCACGGGATATCATCTCACCGCCAGGATAAGCGGTCATGTAAATCTGGCAGAACACGATAAGCTTATCGAACATCTCAAGAATGAAGACAGATTGCGCGTCGCTGAGGTGGACATTTTCTCTTGTTGCATAGGTCAATTCCTTGCGGATATTCGTGTGTAGCAGAGGGGACATTTTCCTACTATCTCGGTCATATGTCCGTCATGTATGCCTCAAGCACCCTCACCCGCAAGGAGACTTGGCGTCTACTAGCCCTCGTGGGGGCCGGTTTAGCAATACTCAATGCCACGTTCCAAGGCGATGGTGCACCTTTGATTGCTTCAACTGCGCTATGTGGCATAGCATTTGCGGTGGCGTTTAGCCTCATCAGATGGCTCGGGCCTGTGTTTCTGAAAGCAGGACTTAAGGGCAAAGACATGGCAAAGCCTAGTCGGCCCGAAATGTCTGTATATGGCTATCGAACTTCAGATCATAACATGAACTAATATTTTGATCTAGTCCTGAGACTATGGGTGCAGTCTGCGCAGTAGTGTACCTGATGTCTCTCATTATGTTCATTCCGTTTGCCTTCTACAAGGATATCGTTGCAGCCACGTCGGGCGGCGGAAACCGTGACGTTGTGATTGAATCGCAACATATTGAAAACGGCCGATTTCTCCATCGATTTCCGCATGGAAAGGTCAGTCAATTTTAATATTCACTGCAGGATGCCTCGAGCTAACGTGCAATTGAACAGCTTGCCTCTTACCTCTCTGGCCTTTTGTCTTTGCAATCCGTCGTGATTCTCGGGATCGGTGATGACCTATTCGATATTCGCTGGCGACACAAAGTCTTGATCCCTGCTTTCTCTGCAATCCCCATGCTCATCGTGTACTTTGTCGACTTTGGCGTCACCCAAGTCGTCGTGCCGGTGCCGCTGCAACGCTACCTAGGTGATGTTGTTGATCTTGGGTGGCTGTATTACATGTACATGGCAGCGGTGGCAATCTTCTGTCCAAATGCGATCAATATGTTGGCAGGTATCAATGGTATCGAGGTTGCTCAGTCACTGGTAATTGCAATCCAATTGCTATTTAATGATGCTCTCTACCTTGCACCTATGACACCATACCCGCACCCTGCCACCGACTCGCACTTGTTGTCGATATACTTCCTGCTTCCATTCATTGGTGTATCCGCAGCCCTTCTATGCCACAATTGGTATCCATCAAAGGTGTTCGTGGGCGATACATACTGCTATTTCGCAGGAATGGTGTTTGCCGTGGTTGGTATCCTGGGGCATTTCAGCAAAACCCTGCTGTTACTATTCATTCCGCAGATCTTCAATTTCCTGTACTCAACCCCCCAGCTCTTCAAGCTTATTCCTTGCCCTCGTCATCGATTGCCAAAGTTCAGCGCTTCTACTGGATTGCTGGACGCTTCTGTCACTGAATGGACGAGCCCCCCATCGCCTCTGATCGACACCGCACTGCGCTTATTACACGCATTGAAACTGGTACGAATCACCGAAGACAAGAATGGTCAAATTACTGAATCGAGCAATCTCACTATCTTGAATCTTTGGCTGGTGTGGATGGGTCCAATGCGAGAAGACCAACTGGCGTGGCACATGGTTGCAATACAAACTGCCTGTGGAATTCTCGGCCTGTTTGTCCGACATCGCCTCGCGTTGCTTGTGTTCCACCATGATAACCGGGAATTCGGTTTTATCGCATAGTTTCAAAAGCGCGTTGGGTTGCAGGAGTCCTGAGAACAGGCTAATCATAGAAGCATCATATTTTCAATGTATATATTAACAGAACGGACACGGGGATGCACCCAAAATTCTAAATTCAATACCCTTGTGCCGCATCAACCTTTTTGGGGAATTGTACCAGTTTGGTTCATTGCTCCAGCCACTTACTCGTGGTCCGTGGCCTCGCGCAAACCGGGAGTCTCTCTCGCGATCTTTTTATCTCCAAAGGCTTCTCCGACCTGCTTGACAATGAGCCAGGCCGGAATGATCGCGATGGCCCACAAGCCAAAGTTGAGGTATATACTACCCACCGCGGCCATGATGTTCACACTACTTAGACCATACTGGAGACATCTCGTTAGTATTCACGTTGCACAGAATTGCAATCATAGGAGTACTTACGCTGACACACTGAGCGGCGGATTCAGTCCCACGCAACAGGCCCGCAATTCGGACGACCTCCTCTTGATTATCCGCTAGGTTGCCCACCAAGAAAAACCTAACCAGAGTTAGCAAGGTTCCTAGGCTGTCACGCATCAAGAATCAGCTTACAGATACATATAGTTGAGCTGGAATCCAGCAACCCAGAACAAAAAGAGTGTGAAGGCTTTCCCGAAACCTGGGTCATTCCAGTCATATATCGGCTTTGTCTTGTTGAATTCCGTTGTCACCACTGAAGCCCAGATCCAGCACATGCCTTGCCACCCGACGACGAGGAAAAATGCGTATCGACTCCTCTTTTTCAAGGATATACGCTTGGTGTCAAGGAAGGCTCCTAGAAGGTTGCCAATGATCAAGGCGATCACACCGGAAAGGAATGACCCAAGAGCTCTGGCCCGTACCGAGAACCACAATCCCTCGTACGAGAACATCACAGCCTCTGTATAAACAGCCTGGCAAATGAGTGGGACGATGAACAGAAACTTGCGACTAATCCAAAGTTTTGACATGCTCTTAAGCTCGTAACCGATGCTGTTCGTCACCTGAAGTTGAACTGGGATACCATCTTTTCGCTGTACCTGAGATGGATTGCTTAAAAGCAGACCAGCGAAGGGGCCAAGAGCTTGAAGTGCAATGAAAATCAGGTAGACAGTATATGAAATAGAGCCTGTGGTTGACCGATGGGCATTGATGCCCAGACTGATGGCACCGCCGAGAATTTGACCTCCAACACGAAAGCTGAGCCAGAATCCCAAGAAGCGTCCTTGGTTGTACGGTTCAGGATATGAGAGCGCAATTGCTGCCTCTGCCATCCAAAAGATACCTGCCGAGATACCGCAAAGAGCGGCGCCCAAGATAACCAGCCATTCTTGACCAAATCGGTTGTTTGTGTACAGTCCTGCTGCGTATGGTGCGAATCCCATCGTTCCCACGATGAGGGTCCATTTGATTCCGATAAAGCGCACGATAACACTACTAAAGAAGCAAGAGACCACCATAAGTCCAAAGGTCAAGGCGTTCGCTGCGTTAACGAGATAGGGCTCCTCTT